TTTATTTAATAGTACCTTACTACTTAGATAACTATAGTAATTCTAGAGCTAATATATACTAAAAACCCTAACTTTAGGAGGAGTATATTTATTAGATAAAAAACTAACGCCCTTTAGGGCTTCTTAGTAATTTATAATAACTTTACAGATTGCATAGCCTTGCGCCAGCAACAGTTTATTTAAATTTCTACCCTATTAACTTTTAATAGTAAGGTATTAGCTTACTATAGTTTTAACAGGTAACAGGGAATTAGGGTTTAATTCCAGAGAGGGAGCCTAAGAAACGGCTACTATATCTAAGGAAGGTAGTAGGCGCGCAAATTACCTAATCCTAACATAGAAAGGTAGTAATAATAAATACTAATATAGGGCTCTTTTGGGTCTTATAATTAGAATAAGTATAATTTAAACCTCTTAATAAGGAATAATTAGAGGGTAAGTCTAGTGCCAGCAGCTGCGGTAATTCCAGCTCTAATAGCGTATATTAAAGTTATTATAGTTAAAAAGCTTATAGTTAAAACTTAGGTCTAGCTAGTAGGTCCGCCTTACTGCGTATACTTATCTAGCTAGGCCTTTCCTTCTAGAGAACCTTATGCCCTTTACTGGGTATACTAGGGAACTAGGACTTTTACTTTAAAAAAATTAGAGTGTTTAAAGCAGGCCTTTACTTAAATACGTTAGTATAGAATAATAGAATAGGACGTGCAGTCCTATTTTATTAGTTTCTAGGACCGCCGTAATAATTAATAGGGATAGTTAGGGGCATTAGTATTTAATTATTAGAGGTAAAATTCTTGGATTTATTAAAGACTAACTACTGCAAAAGTATTTACTAAGGATGTTTTTATTAATTAGTAAATAAAAGTTAGGGGATTAAAGATAATTAAATACTGTCATAGTCTTAACCGTAAACTATACTAACTAGGGATTAGGCAATATTCTTTTTCTAACTTACTTAGCACCTTACGAGAAATTAAAGTTTTTGGGTTCTAGGGGGAGTATAGTTACAAGGCTAAAACTTAAAGAAATTAACAGAAGGGTACTACTAGGCGTAAACATAACTATTTACCGCAGTAACTCTACGCTAGAAAGGAGCCAGTAATAGTAAGTAGTAGCTGTTATTAAATCCTAGTTAACTGCTTTAGAGGCTTTAGCTGCCTATAAAACGGTAACTAATATCTAATAAGAGAGCTTTTGGCAACACCGTTAAATTATAGGAAACTTGTAAAGTATTCTGCTACTAAGCCAACGTGTTAAAAGCTATTAGTGGCTAGGCTAACTCCCTAGGTACAGTAAAAACGTAGTCTATATATAATAATCTACAGCTAAGCTCCCCTGCTATAGTAAGGAGAAGGTTTAGAGACTAAATAGCGGTAGGTTAGTGTAGTACCCAAAAACTAGTCACTATAACAGCTAGCTTAAGATATAGTCTAGGCCCTCTTGAAAGACTATAGTATTATAAGGTATAACCCTATAAAACAGGAGCCTACGGCTTAATTTAACTTAACACAGAGAAACTTACTAGGTCTAGATAAAATAAGGATTAACAGATTAAGAGCTCTTTCTTGATTTTTTAGGTAGTAGTGTATAGCCGTTCTTAGTTAGTAGAGTAATTTATCTACTTAATTACAATAACAAACAAGACCTTAACCTACTAAATAGCTAGGCTAGCTTTAGCTAGTCGCTAGCTTCTTAGAGGGACTATTGGCTTAAGCCGATAGAAGTTTAAGGTAATAATAGGTCTATAATACCCTTAGATGTTCTGGGCCGTATACGCGCTACACTAATAGAGCTAATAAGTTCTTTACCTTGGCCAGAAGGTCTAGGTAATCTTGTTAAACTCTGTCGTACTAGGGATAGAGTATTATAATTATTACTCTTTAACAAGGAATGCCTAGTAAGCGCGTATTATTAGCATACGTTAATTACGTCCCT